GATTTTTTTTTTTGAAAGTCCACAAATTCAAGTCTAAGATTTAAATTCACATCACGAATTCTTGTTCTCTTGGAAAGTGCAGACAAGGTCTGACAATTGAATAGCATTAATCGTAATGTCCAATAAACAATTTCGAATTTACAACATTAGAGAAATTTTTTAGATAAAAACGTAGTCACTCCAATTGCCTGTGTAATAATTTTAAAAAAATACCTGAATAGTTAAACAATTAATATGAAACAGTTATTAAATAGTTTCTCGCAGGTAAATCATCGGGAATCCCCTGAAAAAAAAATAACTGCATATAAAAAGAGTAGATAATGTGCATTACATATTGTAAATGATAGAAAATAATCGACGATTATTTATTCTATACAAATATGTGTTAATGAATTTTATCCACTCGTCAATGAGACTAATGGTGTCAATAAGAATAATTTTATAAACAATGGGATAATAATCGCGGAGATTCGCCTCTGTTATATAAGATAATCTTACACATGTGCGTGAGGTAATGAACGGACTACTAATAGCCAACGTAATTCATCAGTATGTAATTAACGAGAGTACCCACAGCAATGGATAGTATTTTTGTTTTTATTTAATTTAATGCAGAAAAATTGAATGAAATGTGACTCGCATGAAACTTTAAAAACCTATAACAATTAAATAAAAATTACGTACCTATTCCGTAATTTGTCAGTCAAAACAATATTCAATAAAAATATATATATTTTTCACTGAATTTTTCTCTCTGTGCATGCAAGATCTAATTTCATCATTCCTGGAGACGCCCCCCCCCCTTTCCCACCCCCCACTCCCCCACTCCTCTTTTCTTTCACCCTTTTTCCACCCATTACTCATAGGGTTTTTTACAAGTAAAAATTTTTAGTTAATGAATTCATTCATTTTAGTTAATGAATTCCTCTGCTTTTTCAATATTTAAAACTGCAATCTACATTATTAAATTTATTTGTGGTAAATAGAGAGTCCGTAAAAGGAGTAAAGTATTACTACAGAATAAACTAGAGAATTAACAATTTTATTAATTCTTTTATTTTTTAATTTTATATAATGACGCTATTCACGAAACGAGGAAAAATGGAATTAATTTTTGTTATGGATATATTACGTTACAGAATTTAATATCATAAATTTTCACTGTTATCTCAACTTCCGAGGTATTGTCATGCACACACGTCTGCTCTCAAAATTGCATCCGGGTTCCGCAAGGTAAACCTCCAGCACTCGGTATATGAAAACAACATTCCAGAAGACCATGGGTTTGTCGCGGACACAATGGAAATTACTTAAACAATCAATTACCATTGATTATTATCAGAAGGACAAATTCACTTTCCAATTGATAACTGAATCATTTTCTATTTCAATTCGTTGATGATTCATTCAATTGAATAAAAATTTTTTTCATAATTTTTCATAATTTGGACAACAGTACTAGGAAAATTCTAATTCAACTAGAAAATTCGAGTACTCAGTGCTCTACAATTACTGCGAATACTACAATATTTTCATGTAAGGAATAGGCTCAACACGAAAAAAAAAGATAAAATAAAAAAAATGAAAGATAAATGTAAAAAAGTAAAATAGGGGAGAGCCAGGCAAAACTGGACACTTGGAGAAAGCATTTTTAACTCATTCCCAATCCCAAAAAAATATTAGAGATAGTCTAAAAGTGTCCCAGTGTTTTTGGCGAATTTTTTCTCTCCATTATACTGCTGTTTACTTACTTTTTTTATTTTTTAGCATTCTCAATAAATACGCCATCCATAACTTGAATCGTTCATTTGCTTCTGATTCGTGAAATTTCTTGTATGGGGATATAAAATTTTTTTTAATTAATTAAATGTAATAAAATCGTGGAAGACCTGAAATATTGAATAATGGATATGTCCGACCGATTTTTTCTCCTCGTCTTCAACTTACCCTCCTGATTCTCCCCATTTTATCTGCATTTCATTTTATCGCGCAATGTTGGCTCAATGTCGGTGCAATATTGGTACAATGTCGGTGCAGTGTTGGCTCAATGTTGGCCCACGGTTTCTTCAATCAATACCCAAACTCGATTAAACATCTTAAATAATATTTATTTGAATATTCCAAATTAAAAAAAAATGACTAAATAAAAAAATGCTCATGTCATTGCAGCACATAAAACGCATTTCCGGCCGCAATTACATGAAATAACATCATAGCCATGGCCGGAAAAAGATTGTGATTCACTTTTTCTATCCTAGACGTCAAAAAGACTATTTCTTTTGTCATTCGGAAAGTGCAGGATTGAGATTGTTTGTCGTCTGAAAAATAACTCACACAATCCATTTGCTCCCAATCGAGTCGTCTTCAATTTCGTGAAAAGATCGATTGAATAATCAGATTGGTTGCTACCAAAGACAAGTACGTTGCACATTTCAATCAAGAACACACACGTTCAATTGATGCTTTTTTTTTCTCAGTGTAGTCCACAGGCGCCTGGAAATAAATATGTTCCTTAATCCATTAATGAATTTAAATTCTCAAATGGATTATGAGGATTCATGGAGTAGAATATTCTGGCACATTAAAGTATGATAATAATTTAAAGTTTAAGCAATCAGTTCATGTACACGCAGATTATTATTCCCAGTGTCAGCGTACAACCGTAATTTTCGTGGACGGAGACACTTGGTCGACAGTCAATGGCCTTCCAGGACAAAAGCTCGGTGCAGCGGATATCACAACGTCGTTCCCTGAATGTTAATCATTTCTTTTTCATTCATTCTTCATCAGTCAGATAAAACGGACAAAACCCATGCCTTCACCTCAACTTCAACGCAAACCTAACACTTGAGACAGAATCACTCGAAAATTCATGAATTCATTAAGAAAAATATTCAGTCATTATTCCTGCATTATTCTTGAAATGACCGTAAAAAAAATCTGACGAAAAAATATTTATGACAGAAAGCATTAGAGAAAATTTACACTTCTGAAATATTTAGGATGATATATTTGTGGCGAAAAAATATCCAAAGTATTGAAATCGAAAATTTGCACATAATTTATGACGAAAGTCTTGAACCATTAATTATTTATGAAATTATAATTATGAATTATTATTTATTATTTTAATTATTTATTACCTTACGAAAAATTTTTGAAGTATAAATCTTTATGATTTAAAATTAGTAGTAATTATCTGTTTTCATTATCAATTTTTCTATTAACCATTTATTATTATTTTATAGTTAGTTGTTTGTATAGTGGCTTTAAATATTTTTGTGTTATATATTTGTGCGAGACCTACTGCGCACTTCGTGCGCCGAATTTGAATTTGGCGGTTCGAGTTCACCAATGAGGATCAGTTCCCCGCGTTTCGAGATCTTTCGACTCGGGGGAACTTCACTTTTGTGTTTCTACTTTCATAATAAGGATTTTTAATATTTTGTCATTCGTCAGAAATCATTTATCGATCTTATGTCATAGAAAGGCACGTCACATTTCTATTCCCTTTACTTTTTTCCATATTTATTCAATGAAACATTTATTTATTATTAAACAAGCCCAATCCTTCACAATACACAGTCTAATGAAATGATGAAGTCTCATTTTCTCTCAGATATCGTTAGAATAATCCTAAAATGCTAGATATTTTTCGATTCATCTGCTCTCTTTCTCCATTTTAGTACAGATTTCTTATCTTTTTTTCAAGAATAATTGTGACTCGATTATGACATTCCTGGAACTGCTCCGAATATCACTGCACGGTTGAAAGGCTTATGCCACTGTTTGTTGAGTACCACGAAACCTGTAGAAAGGGACTCTCGATTTTAAACTGAATTTTTAATGCTTCTCCGCTTCATTGCTGCGGTTTATTATTGCTGTAATCCCACATTTTGTGCTTGTAAGAAGTCGAAAAAAATTCAGAAGGGTTTCTCACTCACGAAAAATCATCGTACCATTTCTTAATCATCCTTCGATCATTCACTCTCTAGTTTATTTTCAATCCCATTGGAGGAAAGTTGAATCCTTGTAATCTTCTCTGTTTATCATCTCTTCAAGTCAGTTCTTTGTCTTTCAACTAGAGACTGTAATTAGCTAGTTATTACAGAGATCATTAAAATCACTCGCACTTGATGAAATGATTTGATGTCATTGTCCAAGAATTCATCTTTTTATCAGAGTAAATAAATTTTCCTCGTTTCCTTCTTTTTTAAGATACAGAGACAAAACCTTGCAAGGACAGACGTCAAAACAGGTCCAGCCCGGTCTGCCGAATAAAACAGGTTCCGTTTCTACACTGAAAAATATCCAACACGGTAATGCGGCTGTTCCCTTGATAACAATAATACCCCGGTTAGTAAATAAATGCAAAAAATAAAAAAAAATAAAAATGAAAAATTCTTGCATAGTGAATCGAGGTCAATGTTGATGAGTTGTCTTACTCAATCTATGGGTCAGTGGAACTTCTCCAGCTATTTTTCAGAGATTAGTATTCTTCAATAACTAAACCAGTGATTTACGACGAGCATCATTAGGTTTTTATTTTTCTGAAGACTATTTCGTTTTTTTTTTTATATTTGATTTGAGCTAGAACCGGATCGTGCAGATTGAAGAATCTAGTTTTATAAATCATTGAAGTTCTCAAATCATTCTGTTTTTTTTATTTTTTATTATTATTGCATGTGTTGAAATTTGTGCATGGAAGATTTATTGATCTTGTCGACGATGGAAAATTCTTAACTTGTATCTTTTAAATATTGACCAATTGTTGCTCAGTTGAACCAACAATTGGTCGTTTGATCATAAAAATTCTGGGATTCTGCTCCGCATCATCCACATCATTCATGAACTCCCATGAGCTCCTAGATGATAATCGACTGCTCTAACACAATTGACACAGACAACAGCTCCTCTGGACGAAATTACATTTTTTTGAATCAGCGGTTTATAAACATTGTTTATAATATAATTTTAAATAATAATAATAATGTTTGGGTACACAACTAATATTCTAGCTAGTAATATTAAATCGGTTGGTTCACAATATCTCATGTGTTTGTAGTCAATTGAAAGTGAATTTAAGGTGTTAAAATAATTACAAGATCAAAGAAAAATATGTAATAAGCATCGGCATCATGGTTTCTTTCTTTCCATGTTCAGAGATTTATTTATATTATTAAATAAACATTCATATAGAGTTTCGTCGTAAGACCACGCAAACAGCATCTCCAAGAAATAATCACCTCATAGTATAATAAATATATTTAATAATAATATTTTTGCTCTTTCCAATAGAACGATTACAGAGTTTCCATTTGAAAACAAAAAACATAATTTTGAGGTAAAAATAAAAAATCCTTCAATAGAACAATTTTAACTTAAGATATTTATATTGAAGTTAGTTGACGTTATTCTTGGATAATTAGTGAAGAAATGGTGGACTCATCTTCAATTGATAAAAATAATGTATCTAGCATTCTCACTTCTATTCACCTCGTGTTATTCTCGTTGATCCATTGGAACGTCCACTTTTCCACATGTACTGGTGGGGTTTGTCCAGATCCAAAGTGGCTTGTGGTGGGTGGCGGTATAAGTAGAGGCCTGGAATCGCCGGCGTTCTCATACCCTCACTACATTCATCTACTGTTACTTTTACTTTTTCCAAATCTCCAACAAAAGTCACTGGCACACCCGGACCAACCGCGACCTTCCATCCTCATTCCTCCGTGTGTTCATCAGTGAGTTATCATAATGACCATCAAATGAAGTGCAGTTAAATCACTAAATCATACAATCTAATCTACCTCTTCTTTATTATTAAAAATTGAACATTGAATATCGATCGAGAGAGCGTAAATCATCAGTGAAGTGCAGATATGTGGCGGAAGAGTTTGACGTTGTGAGTAGAAATATTGAGTCATGCAGAGTAGTGCCATTTTTTTTTTTTCAATTTTTTTTTAATCTCTTCAATTGACAATTTTGATTTATTTTTTTCGAGTTATCTTGACGGAAACTGCATCGAGACTACCTTTCTCCTTCACCTCGTCTTCGGCACACAAACCGCTCCTCATACACCGCTCCTCATACCGCTCCTTAATGCCGCTCCTTGCCCCTTTTTTCCAATGGATATGAAACACCTCTGCAATCCGGTGCGGCAACTCTGCGAGATCTCGTGTTTCACCTCGTGTCGTTTGTACTTTCGCTACTTTGATTTCTTTCAAAGATCTTCAAAGATCATTTGGGTTATCACCAAATCCGTGATAATCACAACTCCTGCTGACAAATATATATATTGACAATTAGTAAATATATATATTAGCGGCCTATTTACTTAAGGAAAAAGTTCATATTTTTGAATTTTTCGGGATATCCGAATAAAAAAATTGAAATCCGGAGGTCGGAAAATCCGATACTTTTTATTTATTTATTTGTTTGATTGGTGACAGGTTTGTGTTTTTCCACCGATTTAAGACACGTAGAAATATCGCAAGGTACGGAATATATGGAATTGGAAATGGAATTGCATTAAATATATTTTGTGTTAATTTTTTCATGGAGGGATTCCTGAACGGAAAACGGTATTTATACACAATATATAGTCATTATATGCACATATCCGTGGACACGTATATATTAGACTCATATATTCGCTCTGAGTCTGACCTATACGTGGAATATATTTGCGGTGAGAAATGCAATGTCTCACATGTTGTTATTAACATATGTATTTTTTCCACGAGAAAAAACTAGTAAATTTACTCAAGACTTAGTCAAGTCGTAATCTATATTAAAACGGAATTGAAACTTTGATTATTTGTGCATTAAATAAAAACCCCGGACATAGATATGAACAATCTATATGATAATAGTTTAATATAGACATTGACTGCATTTTTTTTATAAAAAAAACGGGAATCGTTATGCTACTTCATCAAAATTTTAATCTTCTTCCTAATTAATCGAGGGAATTCACACTAAAGTCATTAGCGTGTCATTAAATTGATATGGAAGAAAATTTCTCGAATATATATTTTATATATTCGATTTATATAATATATATTTTATATATTCGATTTACATAATATATATTCTAAAACCCGGAAATAAAAAAATGATAATGAATCGAGTTATTAATGAAGTAGTAACAAAATTTTAAAATTTAAAAAACGGAAATTTTCCAAAAGTAATAGGAACTGGACAATGAAAAACGCGAGGTGCATAATAATCGGATACAAGGAAGAGGCCATTAATATTAAATTAATATTGTAGGAAGTAAAATTCTAAACAGGTTTGAGGGTATATTCCAAAACACTCCACCTCAGTAAAATATCCTCTTCTATAGTTTATACTGGTAAAAGTAACGTAGAGTTGGTTAACAATATATAAAGTCAAGATAAACTCAAACCGAAATATATATCTCAGTTAATATTGGTTAAAGTAGCTGGATGTGCACTGAGAAAAATAATTATTTTTGCCAAGAATATTTTCTTCCCACCAGTAAATCTGGCGATCACTGCGTAAATACTCCCATAAGACTTACTAATGCCAAATATATTTTCTTGTGGTTAATAAATATTCTTGGCTAAAGAAAATTTTTTTCTCAGTGACGTGCTCTCGCCCGAGTTGCTAGGCGAACTGCCCTCATCTCCACTTCCTAGTGGAGAAAAACTCCAACGCATCATTCGTCATTCGGCATTTGTTTATTGTAAACAATAGCAGGCAAACGTCGCCCAGGTCGAAAATTGTTTCTCGAAAGGTTTATACTAAGGCGCTGGTAGTCTCCACACGGTATGGTCTTTGTCCCAAGTCCAATGAATGTCCTATAACGCTTCGAAAATTTTTCCCCACAATATTAATATTACGATTAATATATATAACATAATAGAATAAAGTATAAAATTAATATTAATATTAATATATATTAATATTAGTATAATTAATAATATTAATATATATTTATATAATATTACCTTTTTATCAGTTCCGAATCTATTATCAATTGAATCATCAAAATATCCGGAATGAGATCTGCTTCAATAACTTCTTGAGGAAAATTCATAGAATTTAAATATATAGAAGAAGTATGCAAATACCTGAAAGACTGTAAAATTCAGGTGTAAGTAAAGGAAATTTAACATGGCAATGTAATAGAATTAATATGATCTACCATACGAAAGTGTGAATAACCTAATGTACGGGTTCCAGCACTCTAAAACAATAAAAAAAAAAAAAACTTCTTGAGGAATCCAAAAATCAATCTTTGAAAAGTATTAATATCTCACTTGTGCGGAAAGATACATATTTTTCAAAGCTGTGTAAATACACATATTTCGTATGGGGGGTACTCCTGGAGGGGACGCCGAACCCGTAAAAGCCTAAAAAAAATATATCGTATATATTTTATATATATCACAAGAATATATTAAATTAGCATGTGTCATACATATTTTTTATATATTGCGAGAATATATTAAATTAGCATGTGTCGTACATAATTTTTATATATTGCGAGAATATATTAAATCAGCATGCGTCATACATATTTTTTATAAACTTTTTTATTGGGGCAGAGTCTATGAAAAATTTTATTCCAATTCACATTAATGAATAAACGTAATTGAAGTAGAGAAAATTTTCATATAAAAATTGTTTAAACAAAATTTCAAGAAAAAAAATTGTAGACACATGTACATACATATGTACATACAGACAGAACATAAAAAAATTACATATTCGGTGTAATTAGTAACTATGTAATATGCTTGACACGAAAAATTGAAGAGGTTTATTTTAAAAATCAGAAAATTTTTATTCGGAAGTAATAATTAGAAGATTGAAAAGTTAATTAGAATACTGAGAATACAAATTCCTTTCCCGTTAATGTGAATTAGCACTTTGTGAGTAGAAAGTAGAAAGAAGATATATTTCCAATCGAATCGAAACTTTGTTGAAGGACTTCTCTCTAACGGAATGATTTGTAAATCTTTGAATGATTTTCAATTTTTTAGAAGATCCCAATTTGCATCTATTAAACAATCTCTAAAATTATTCAAAACCAATCAATTCAAATGTATTCTCAAAATAAAAACACTAATTAGTTAACAATAATTAAAATAATTAGCGACTAACGAATGGTTTAAACAAAAAATTTTTTGGCGTCGACACAATGAAAAAAATTGGAATACATCGTATAAACTGGTATATTAAATAAATAAATAATAAATTCAAATTTATAAATTCTTCACTCATATATTTACAAGAGAAAATCAGTGTTCTCTGCGCGGAAGGAAAAGTTATTCGATATCATTAACAGAAAAATAAAAAAATCAATTTCACTTCATCCTCGACAGATCAAAGAAACCGTCAACTACGAGAGAAACCATTCCTGTGAAAACAGTCCTATGTAGCATCGGACAAAAGTCAGTGACTCTTCAGATAGTTTCATAATCAATAGAATGCGATGACAATGATTTCCTCTCGCCCCACAATTAAAATCTCTTTCATGACGCCACTAGAACCGCTAAATTGAGAAATTATAAAAATTAACGAGAAATCGTTGCATATACCCATACTCTCAAGGTCACAGTAAAAAAAAAAATTAAAACCATAAGACAATATAATTTCCATTGCATAATCGAAATCAATGGAATCATTCGATTGGATTCCCGAACAAATTTGCAGATGATGAATAAGAGTCTAATGATTGGTCTTGTGGTTTCACCTTTTCCTTTCGATTTTATTGACGTCAGAGAGTGGGATTTCGCCCCCAGCTACCGTTGGCGTATTTTATGAACAGTGATCGATTCCTCCTTTCTTCTTCAGCTAGTAATCCCTTCAGAATGACAGGAATGTGCAGTTTCTTTAAATAATTCTTTAAAAAATTGCCCCCTTGAACAAAAAAATCATTTCCTTTTTAACGAATTTTTTAATTCATTCACCTTTTTAACGAATTGTTGATAGGGATGACGCGAAAAAATAAACCTTATCCGCATTTTATCATTATTTAATGATTCTTTGAATGTCATGGTTGTGCGATAATTTTTCCGCGTTTTTTCGAAGCATTTAAAAAGAATTAGTAAATTGTAGGAAAATCACTTGGAAATTATTGCACCATCACGAAATTTCGTGAGCTATTAAATAATGACAGGACACCGAAACGTTATATTTTTTCACGTCAATCTTATCAATAATTCGCTAGAAAAATTTGAAGAACGTAAATTCTGGCTAAAGATGTGTCGAACATCCTTAAGAACTTATTGCAGATATTTTCTCCTTTTTTATCTTTTGTATTAATTTCTGGGAAAGTGCGGTTGACGTAAAAAACATCTCGTTTTTAGGTTTTATTATTGTTCGATGACTCACAAATTTTTATAGAGGAGCCCCGGGCCCAATGGAGTGTGGGTAAAATGGGATGAATCAGGATATTCAAAATTTCAGTTTTTCCAGAATTTTCTTCTCCTTAACTAATTAAAAAATGTTACATTCCCATATCTGGAATTTCACGATCAGAAGCAAAAAATGAGCGATTCGAGATAGACGACGTATTTTTTGAGAATTTTAATAAATAAAAAAAATAAGAAAACAGCAGTATAATTAAGGGAAAATATGAAATTCGCAAAAAACACTGGGGGATTTTTTAAATGTCCCCAAAATTTTTCGGCGAAAACGAAATAACTGGGAATGAGTTAAAAACACTTTTCCTCAAGTGTCCCATTCTGCCCGGCTCTCCTCTAGTTAGTGCAATCAATCTGGCAGGTGAAAACATTGTAACCCTTAATTAATTCAGCTGCCCATGAAATTATATCAGCAGATCCGTAAAAATGCCTCGAACAACATATCAAAATGTTTACGCACAGTTCAACCAAGAACATAAATAAATTAATTAACAACTACGGACTTTTGTGCGCTGAACGCCAAGAATTGTTGGTAAAGTTTTATGAATTTCTGTAAAAATCTAGAACCGCGGAAAATGTTTCCATGGTGATGAAACTTTGTGCGAGATTAAACAATAATGATTGAAAAATAATTTACAACCACTATATTTTTCTCCTCAATTTGATCAGCGGTTTCTCAGATATTTGTTTAAAAAATTGAAAAATGAATAAAAATCGGCAATCACTCCTCGACGGCGGTATAGACTGAGAAAAAAATTTCTTTAGCCAATCATTTTTACTAACCACAAGAAAATATATTTAACATTATTAAGCGTTAGAATATCAAGTTAAAATTCATAGAAATATATTGAACTAATTTACAATAATTATAAAAATGAATCGATATGAAGGGCTCCACCGAATCGCCTCGGAGTTTTTATAAACATAAATAATGGCTTTACAACAAATCATTGTAGGGTTCTTTCTTTGTTGTCGAATGTTCTTATGGTCTTTGTGGCTAGTCTTTATACTTTTGGAGATATTGATAAAGTTCAGACAATTCTTCCTCGTTCGATTTTAATAAAAAAATAGTAATTAAAGTTTATTAATTGTGTTTTAATTAATTTAACTATCCCATTTCCAATAGTAAGTCTTATGATTGCCAGATTTACTGGTGGTCAGTAAATACTATTGGCTAAAGAAAATATTTTTCTCAGTGCAGGTGCCATCGTCAAGTGCTTACGCAATCGAAAGTCAATTGGCTGTCAATTTTTTGAAAGTATCGCCCCGAGCTTCAAGTACCAACCCATGCAATTTCAGTGTCCCCGCAATTGCCACATTCGAGAAACAAGAAATTTGAATAATGAGACATTGTCTTGAAAGTTGAATAGAAAAAAGTGGAATTCATTCATTGGAAAATCTTGTTAAAACTATTCTGCGAACAGCTCTAGACATGTCGAATTTATAAAAGTATGTGCAAACATTTTTTGCAAAAATTAAATGACCTTTAAAAAACGCCTCACGATAATTTCTCCTAGCATGAAAATATTACTACCAGATAATTCCACGTAATTACCATCAAGATAATTAAATGATAGGCATTAAAGATTCGGTATTAAATGTCAACTATTCATTAATAACCGAATTATCTTTATTAACTTTTTTAATTAGATGTTGCAAAAAATTCCTCTAACCGCATTTCCGTTGTGAAAATTGATTTCAATAATTTCAATGATTTCAAATAATAATAAATTTCAATCAAAATATATAAATAAATAAATAAATAAATAAATCAATCAATCAATCAATCAATCAATAAATATAATTAAATAAGTAAAAGTAAAATAAATCAAATTAATGAATTAAAAAGAATAAAATACAAATTGAAAAGAAAAATGTGAAACGACGAAAGATGGAAATAAATAAATTTGTGGTTTTTGGTTGAAGGTTTTTGCGGTATTATCGGCATCTTACATAAGCAAAGTCGTTGCTAATGCTATTAGAAATATAACTATACGCATTATAACTTTATATTCAGCACGAAACCGCTTTCTCCTATATGGATATCGCGATAAATTCCTTCCATAAGTTGAAAAATAATTTTTTCCATAAATCCTTTTTTATTATTACTGTTTATAAATACCTTGAGACATACCGGAAGTAGATAAGACCTGGGACTGAAAAATCCATTTGACAGATATCTTCCATCATCAATCGAAGAGTTCAACCAAATAATCTGTAAATAAAACCAGTCAGAGAAATAGAGAAATTTCTGTTTCCAAAGCTCATGTAATTAAATTCACAAACTAGTGAATAACCAATACTCCACAAATGAGATTTTGCAACAGCGGTATTTATGTAGAAACATTTCGAATTCCTGTTAATTAGAAAATTAATAAAGATATGCATAAACAAATGTTGAGTACTTGCATAACTGGAGTGTCTCATAAGTGAGAGAAAAAGTTGATATACTTTTTTTGTAAATGCCTTGAATTCTTCCGTAAATTTCTCAATCCAGAGTCATTTCCAAAATAATCCGGATGTTTGGGAGAAAAGAGAATGGAAAATAGAAAGGATTGATGTTTTATCTTTTACGAATGGATGAATGATGCTCCAATTGTGTTGACGCATCATTGTGGCATTAAAATTGATAATTGACACTTGTCAGCATACGGAAGTGATTTACAAAACGGTGAAAATAGGAATTTGATATCAAATCGCTTTCCATTCCCATTCCCCTGCCATTCAGAAGTTGTTCCCTGATACTTCCGTTGATCAATGACTCCAGGGATTTCTCATCATGTGTGTCACTAGGTCTAGATATTCATCTGCACTCGAATTTCACATGATATCACAACACAGGGAAATCTCAGTACTTTCAACATTTTTCCATCTACAAAACAGATTTTCAGTCCTTCTCGGTTATCGAATATTAGATCAGCTGTCACGTGGAGTGGAGATCCTGATGAAATTGACAGTTTTCCGTTGATTAAACTTTCACGTGACGTGTCTTGACATCTCCTCGGATTTCTGAATAAATTATAAATAAAGAATACATTTTGGAGCAATTAATTTAGTAATTGTTGTTAATATTTGCTAAATACAAAAGAACTCAACTATTCCGTAAAGTTTATTGTAGACTCACGTTATTATTGCGTTTGCGCTGTTTTTTTTCAGCGATTAACGTTTTGTCCACTCTGTTCTAGTTTTGCCCTCTGAAATTTCCCTTTTTTTATGTCTATGTGGTTTAAATTTGATTTCTTTATTACCTCCTTGAGAATCCCAAGAATTAAAATTATTTTTACACGACAGTCTCTGTAGACAATTAATGTGCTGTAAAACGACAGCTAAAATATGATTATTTTATTTTTTTATTTTTGTTCCATTCTAAAGATTCTTAATTATATTTATTTATCAGGTTATATCCAGAGAATTTTCAACACTTTGTGTTATTATTCCTCGGCAATAAAACGGTCAATCGACTTATTTATTGTTCGCTGGATTTAATTTTTTTTTTTCAACAATTGTTTATTTATTTACATTCATATATACATTCTATTTACAGTAATAAACAATGTTTTAGAAAGAACTGGTACAATATGGTTACTGGGTAAGTTGTACATCATATGGCTTGCGATTAGCTCTCATGATTTTTAAATTTCGCGGGATTTAATCAAGTGACTTCTACCCCCAACAATTTTTATTTAATAAACCATCGAGCCGTTGATTTTTCAAGAATTATAATCCAGTGGAGCCCGTGAGTTACCCAAATTAAAAAAAAAATTACCTGAAATTCAAAAAGAACAATCTCAAATAGAATGTCATCATTTTGCAGGTACTTTTTCCCACTATTCGCCATAAAAATTGAAACAAAAATTGTCGAGTGAAAATTTTACACGACAACCTTAAATTTAGAGTGGTATGGAAATACGACTGTCCTGAAATTCCCTGTCATATCCTACGCCTGAACTTTTCAGCTCCCACCCCAGTCCAGTCTGGGATTTTTTTTTTCAGTTGACATTTCTTATTCGTGTTGAAAATATTCTAGAATTCTACAGTTAAGGGTGTTCTGCCGTTCTGCTTTCGAATAAATTGAAAATTCAGGGAAATTATTGCTTGATTTTTTTATTAACTGATTAACTGATGACATATTAGAAAAATTTAATTTCATTTTGTCGGTGTTAATATTTATTTGACTTGAACTTTCAAGTGTAATTTTCCAACAGTGAACAGAGAAATTTTTTATGAATTGAAATCACATGAAAGGTGCTGTATGTCATTCGGACATGACCGTTTCCAGTATTTTACTCCAGAATTCCTGTTTTACCAAAGTTAGCCTTGGCCGAAAAATTCATGACCTCGTCTCGACTCATTCCCCGTAATTAAACCAGTTTGTCACTCAATTTTCTCAAACTCTCGTTCTCTCACTTGTACTTTCGCATTGGTTCACCCTGAAGACTTAAAAGCCTCAATTGCTACTGGAGGAGTTCTTGCCAATATCTTCAGACTTTTCAAGTTTTTCGTAGATTTCTGGCGAACGATTGATAACATTCACGTAAAAAAGTACACTGTTTTCAAATTTTGTTATTACTCAACATCTTTCGAAGTTTCATCACCAAATTTTTGTAGTTTCTCAGTAAACTTTTACAACAATTTACAAAACTTCACTTTAATAATAATGAAGCTTAAAAACTGTAATTCAGTCCACGTTTCCCCAGAAATTAAAAAATAAACATGATAAATGAGAAAATATCGGAAATAACTCCTTACAATTGTTGTCTTGTAAAATATTTACTGAGCAGATTTTATTAAAATATTTATGGTGAATAGTTTGAAGAAGTAGCAGTCAAATGATCACTTTCAATTTTTTTCCTTCGAATTTTTTTTTAATTTTTTTTTTGAAAAAAAAATTTAAAAAAAATGGTTAAATAAAAAAAATTTATTAAATGAAAGAGAAATATTAAATGAAAAAAAAAATAAATGGATTGACGGTTTCATTTTCGAGGACTAATAACAGAAAGTTGATGATTTCCATAAGGAAGACTAGTTAGGATGGAAAATATACGGTTATATTTTCGCTGTTCATACACAATGCGATGAATTAAGTGAATCTATATATTGTCAAAAAATAGTGATTTAAGGTTGTTGTCGCGCGACAGTCTCTGTAAAAAGTTTATCCGCTGTAAAACGGGCCAGTTTAGAACACAATCTTTTAGCGGTATATAGTCTCACTTGATTGATTGCATTGTGCATGGATAGCTAAAGCATAACTATATATTTTCCATATTAACTATTTTCAATTCTATAAATCTATGAATTTCCGATAATTATATTCCGTAAACCAAACGGTCAATCGATTTGATTTTTTTTTTCTGTATTTCCTCCCATGATGTATATTCCACGTTTTTTTTTATTTCTGAAAATGTCGAGCCGTTGATTTTTAAAAAATTCTAATCGGCAAAACTCCATTTAAACACGTGTTAAATCACTCGAATTTCAAAAATTTATAACAAACGATGAGATTCAATAGATAGTCCACCCGGGCCTTAATCCCGGCCATTTTACAGGGCATAAACTTTTTATCGAGACTATCACGCGTCAACAGCCTTAATATGGCGTCAAATTTCTCATGACGATCACGAAAGGATGTTAATGATTGGTTGGTTTTTCATAATCTCCTCGTTTCATGAACTCGAAGAAATCACGTAAGAAACTCATGTTTATCCAGAAACCTTCACTCATGCGTTAGCAATACAAGGAATTGCACTAGATGCATGAAAATTGCACGGGAAAGCGTTGAGTTTATTCCACAGAGTCTCCAAAGACTAAAAGGCATCCTCAGTGTTTATAAACGTCTCTGGACTTTCACAATCTGCATCCTGGTTCATTAATAACGTCTTGATATTTTTCAACCCAGTTCACCTCCAACTGACGATTTATGACGAAAAATCTTTATTATATGCGCAGATTGTGCTGTACAGTTGCAATTGCACTGTCTGAAGATCCTAAACAGACACCAGAGTATGTGAACATCAGATCTACACCAGGGGCTCTGCGGGCTGCTGATACTTCAGGTAAAGTTCTTGTTAAATGTGAAACATCTGTTTGTTGTGGAATCATGATGGAAAGGAAAAGTTTTGGAGGAAATGCCTAACCTACCTTTATCACAGGCTATTCAATTTTCCCATAAAAATCCAAGAAGCAATTAAAATGTATTTTTTAATTTAACTTCTAATTGATTGCATAATCATCTTAAAAATTAGTGCACGAAATTGATTAATTATTGCTACATTTTTCATTGTTGACTGATTCGAACCCCAAAATTGTCTTGAATGTAGGGTATTGTCCTCTTTTTTCAAAGATGGCGCGGGTATGAAATGATTTCTGTAAGAGTTAGGACTTTGTAATCTCGCGCCACTTTAGGCGGACCAATAAGGAATCGTGAATCATGAATTCGATGAATTCGATTCATGAATTCGAGATTTTCGAGATAATCGATTGTGTCAAGCGTATCCCTTTTAGAATAGGATTTCGAGATTTTCGAAATAATCGATTGTATCAAGAGTGTCCCTTTTAAAATAGGACGAGATCTACTGCGCACTCCGTGCGCCGAATTCGAATTTCGACTTCGGATTTGAGTTGACCAATAAGGAATCAGTCTTACGAGTTTCGACTCAGGCGAACTTCATTTACGTATCTCTGCTTTCATGATAAAGATTACTCTTACTGTTTCTGTTTGTTAATCGATTAGCGAAGATTAATTGTTAATTGTTTTCTATTTTTTATTCAATCAGACGAACAGTTTGATCATTTTTTCAAGTGAGCATTTATTTCATTTAATGTTTGTCAATATCATTTTTGGTTTAATTGTTTGTTTAAATAAATCTTAGTATTCGAGACTGTCGGGAAATTACGCTTGAAATTGTAAATAACAAAAGTTTAAATCTTTAACGACGACAAAGTCCCATGAAATTTCTGTGGAATTCTTCATTGGCAAATGATTTTTTTACGTCGAAAATTCAAACCGTCATTTCCCTGAATTTTCTTTCTATGAAAAATTCAAACTTTCATTGAAAAATCATTTGTCACTTAACAGAAAAAAACCAATTTCCTTCAATTTTAAAAATAAATGAGTCATTTAGTGACCGTTTTTAATTGGAATTGAATTCAGACTCATATAATCGAAAATTCAGATAATTTGCGGGAAAATTCAAGATATTTTGAACACCATAAAAAAAATTTTTACCTTGTTCCAACAAGAGTGACGAACGCAATTTACCAGAAAAATCTAGAAATTACGATGAACTAGAATAAAAAATTCCATAGACTTTCCATCGAATTAGAATTCCTTAGATTTTCTATTGAATTTTGTTTGGAAAAATTCACAATAATCGACAAGAGTTCCACTTCCTAGTGAACGAATTACCTTCACTCTCTCAGAAGTCTCGAATTAATTTTGCAGACTTCGCAACCTCCCACAAGCTCCCAGAAGGCATTCCCTACCCAGCGGACGACCCCGAGGACCCCCTGGACAGCCCAACCCGAGCCCAACAAAAACAAGAAGTGATTCAACGCATCCAAAAACTCAACTCCAAACTCGATCTCCTGCAACCAGTCTCGCAGAGTCTGGACCCCCTGAATTCCCCCAATGACTCCATTAACACGAATTCAAAACGTCAAGCACGAGTCCAGCTGGAGACCTTCAGTTCCACTGGCTTCATCCCCGAAGAGGGGCACAAACTGAGTTCTGGCTTCAGAAGACACGACGACGACATCGATGAAGACGAAGAAGAGTTCCCAAAAGTCCAAAAATACCGACCAAATACTCCAGACGATGATCTCCTCCCAGGAGTTCAAATAAGCGCTGAATACCCGACGACAATGCATCCAGTATTAACTACAGAGCGTCAGCAGTACTCAAGGGCGTCCTTCGACTTTGTCCCAGTCAACATAATCAGGGAAGACAGCAAGGACAACTGGACACCATTCGCCAACCGCAACTTCGATGACCTCGGTGATGTGAGTCTAGTTCCGGCTGGATCAAACTCCCGGATACAAATAAAGAAAGGACCGAATGGAAAAGATTACGAGTACGAATACGTTTATTATTATTACGACGAGGAAGAAGAAGGCAAGGCAGGAGCTGCTAGCAGCAATCAGGAGGGAATCCGTACGACTCCATCATCATCATCATCTCCATCATCGAGAAGGAGTGGATCATCCGGCAGGAGTAAATACAGTTCTGTCGATCGATCGACAACCGTTGAACCCGTTAGCAATGAAGTTCTGCCTAATAGAGTGGGAAACAGGGGCAGGAACTTGGAGAACGAGGAGGTAAACGAGGAGAGACTACCCACGAATACGAGGTTTCCACCAAGATCAAGATCCAATCACAATACTGGAACCACTGAGCCCAGCAGAAACAGGGGCAACAGGCCTAGGCCGAATTTGGATCTTGTGGATTCTAGCAGTTTCAGGACTCATCAGGAGGGACCTGAGTTCCCTCAGACCTTGCCCAAGGGACCTGTTAGGTTTCTAGGTGTCACTCCTAATGAGAGTGGAGAAGGTGGAAAAGTTAGGGGAAGGCCACACAGAGTACAGGAACCTGCACCGGTTCTTGAGAGAGAGGATGAAGGAAGGCGACGACCCGATCCTGAACCTGCGGTGAGTCCATTTTTTTTTTTGACGTATTCAAGAAGAAATTCATTAATTAAATCGGCATTTGTGATTCACGGATTTTTATAAAACAGAATGTTTTATGTTTTGGGAGAGACATTTTCAGCGGAAGCGTTCGTTTTTCTTTCTTGCATTGCGTCGAAACTATCGGTATTTCAATTTAGTTCACGTTTTTGGGGACTTTTTGGTGGCGTTTGTGACCACCGGCATTGAGAAATATATAATCCAGAAATTATCACTGAAATATAGCTTTTTGCGGGAATTATATATTAAGTATATCCGACTTTTGAGAATCCCGGAAAAAATCCCAGGGAAAAAATATCCCACACATTCAAAACGTGTTAAAACTCCCTCAATTTAATTATTTTTTAATTTAATTATTTTTTTCGTTGTCTATTTTTTCAGGGGCTCTAATTTTCCTATGGTCCATCAAATTGGGTGGGTTTTAACACGTTTTGGGTGTGTGGGCTATTTTTTCCGGGGATATTTTTTCCGCCTACCGACTTTTGAATATACTTATATTTTATACTTTGAATAAACTTTTGAGTATATCTTCAATGAGCCCGTGAGAAGCGTTCCGTGGATATATCTACATTATATCTCGGATAATGCATTTTTGCCGGAGTATATGCAATATATATTTGGATATAATTAACATATATTTCCGGAAAAATTAGAAGAGAGGAGGGTAAAATGGACTCCCTTAACAGAAACTCATTCCTCAACAATTTTTACTGCTCAAGTGCTTAGCCCTTACTCTCAAAAGCCTCCACCTAAATTTGTGCAACACGTCGACAAAATGAAAATTTTAAGCTAAAGGTAGATAAAATGGACACCCATCCCCCTCATGTTTTTTTTTCAATTGTCCCGAAGTGACAATTCGTTGTCGAGAATACAAAATAAAATTAATTTGTGCTCCGTCCAAATCAGTTCTTTATTGTTGATTATAATTGTTCATCAATTTACTTTCGTATACAGAATAAAAATTCTATCGTAATTACTTGAATAGGCAAATTAAGGAGCATCAACGTATCCAGAAAAAAAAATGGGAAAATATAAAAAAGGAGAGGGGGGAGTTGATTTTACCCACACAATCGATTTTCATCTTATTTTCAGAAGAAAAAAATGGAGAGACCAGTAGAAATATATAATGTAATTGATTGTAGGTCGAAGTAGAATTAAATCGTGGCCAGCCATCCCGAGCTCCGGTAGAAGAGGAGGAAACCTCCACCTCTGCAGTCCTCAGGGAAGAGAAACTAGGTGAAGAGAAAATGCTGGAGAGCACGACACTAGATACCCCAACTACTGAATATCCATCACCAATGGACAAAGTTGCTCTCGACCTTTATGCCTTCCTCCAGCAGGGCCAGAATAACCTAGTGGACAGTGTGACCGATGCTGATGATTCCAATGAAAATACCACTCTAGTTGACGAAGATTCGACCACTATCCTTCCTACAACAACCGATGGTAATCCAACTACTATCGATGCTATAACAACTACTGAGGCTACTATCACCTCCACAACAACTACAACAACAACCACCACCACAACGACTACAGAAGCTCCAACAACCCCGGCATTACCTGGAAGAGGGAAATTCAGGAGACCTGCAGCACCTGGTGGTGTTGGAAATCGAAATAGGTGAGCGATTGAATCTTATTGGATTCCAACTTGTAGGATCATAGCGATCGTCAATAAATAAATGCAAAAGTAACTACTCAAGACTTTGATAATAAAAAATAACAAGTTGGTACATTCCCTTTTAAAAAAAGGCATAGCGCGCCATATACGCTAGTTAGTATTAAATTAAAGGAAATATTGATCTATGATGAAAATATGTCTCTTCTCTCTGAACACTCAGAATGAACTCACTCCTCAGCTCTTCCAAATCTTTCTTATTTTCCTCACTACTTTCCCCCTCTTCACTGTACTCGAGCAAACCATCTATTGTCCATCTGTCTGCCCACTCTGTCTCCACTGGACCTCACGCAAAAGTCCCAAAAAGGCACGTATGCCATTAAACCATCCCTCTAAACACTACACGCTAAATTATTAACACTAGGAAAAACTATAAAAGAATAGTATATTACGCACGCGTTTCATACACAAAATAAACATATAGCCTAAACTTTACGTTCCACAATGGACTTATTCAACTGACGGAAAATCTTTGTTCTAAATTCTAAGAGTCTTTTGTTAAAACTAAAAGTTTTTTTCCTATTCATCTTAATAATCTTAAAACCCACAAATTTATCTCTTTATCTTATGACTGTAGGCGAAAGTCAAAATGGAAACGATTTTTTAGAATTTAAATTCATTGCTCGCTCGTTGATTTTATTGGGTGGCAACGCGAAGCGGAATAATATCGATATATCAATTTTTGAAATCAAAATTCAAATGAGAGATATTTACGAACAAGAAGTTTATACTGTAATCATTATTACATTGTATTTGTTGTATTTGTTGTCTCATATATAGGAGAAGAGGTAAAATGGACCGTGCGAATAAAATGGTTCCCCTTCATTTTTACATTTTTATATTTTTTTGAAGAAATAAGAATTTTTTATATGAACGTAGGAGCGGGGAGAGCGCATCGTGTGCGAAAAATGGAATGCTCATTTTTCACTAATTGTTTTTTTTGCTTATAAATGGGTACACAATAAATACAATAAATAATGAGGAATGAATTTAGCAGTCACCGGTGAGTCTTGAAATGATGATCGAAATCAAAAGAATTGTATTCGTTTAATGACACGTTTTGAGAAAAATTCAACATTTTTGATCAGTTAAGTGTAGTAAAATTCTGGAAAAACTGAATGTTGAATAATGAATTCTTACGATCGTTTTTTTCCTCTCACCCATTAAACCTCCTGATTCATCCCATTTTGCCCCCGCGTTTTACCCGAGTCTCCCCTAGACACGGATGTCTATGAAAAATGTAAAATCTTAGAGCATCATGGAATTAAAAATCACTGCAGTGAAATTTTGTTCTTTTCCATTTAAAAATAAATACAGATATGATGAATCATAATTTTTCCTTGCTCTACGTCCATTTTCATTATAGCCGTCGAATTAACAAACTAAAAATTAATCCGAAAAAAAAACGATGCGAATTGAAGAGAATAATGAACTGATCATTTATGTGGTTTTTTTTTTTCAGATTCAAATCTGGCGGTTCTTCGACAACAACAACAGAAAATCCCTCCCCAGCTGAGCCAACTCAGAGGAGAAATCGATTTGGGGCTAGCTCAGGAGGATTCAAGCGCCCCAGACCCGGATCAAAGGCTCCTGCACAAGAGGAAGAAATCCAAAAGGACTCAGCAAGCTCAACAAATTCAGAGAAACCTGGAAATGGAAGGAACAGGTACAGAGGAAATGCCGCGAAGCCCGCAGTGTCCACGACATCAGCCCCAGCATCTCCATCATCATCACCGTCTTCAGGGGTTCCTCGGCCTACTTTCAACAAGATCAATCTGAATCGTCGGAGAGGCAGACCCACAGCTGCACCTCCAGCTGTCAATGAAGAGAACCAGGAAGCTGGTGAGACTGCAGGCCCTGAAGGCCCCGAGTCATCAACCACAGCGAAATCACCGCTGAGACCTAGATTACCTGGTGCTGGACCGAGACCTGTCAGGCCTGGAGCTAAAATTAATCTCAGAAGACCTGGACAACCTACGACAACTGCTCCACCTCCTGAGGTACAGGAGGGAACTCTTGAGGAACCTGCTGGAGAAGGAACCGAAGAAGAAACTCATGAGGTAACACAACGTCTAATTTTACAAACGCATGCAAAATAGGTTTTATAGATAATCTTAATCAATATGCACTCTAATAACTCTAATTAATCAATTAATCAATTAATTGACTTCTAATTACTCTAATCTTTTCACTCTATTGCATCAATTCTCTATCAATTTTTCGACCGATTCTATTGGAATTGTTGATGGAAAGCATTAAGGGTGTTGTCGCGAGACAGTCTCTGTAAAAAGTTTATGCGGTGTAAAACGGGCAAGTTTAAAGCGCGATTTTTTGACAGTATATAGTCTCACTTGATTGATTGCAGTGGGTCTATATTTTCCATTTTAACTGTTCTTAATTACGGTAATTGATCATTGATCGGTAATTTTCTGTTATGATTCCTCGAAAACAAAACTGTCAATCCATTTAATTTTTTTGACCGTATTCAATGGTGGGCTTCTACTCCAAACAATTTTTATTGAAAAACTATCGAGATGTTGATTTAAAAAAAAATTTATTCCGCGACGCTCCATTAGAACACGTGGATAGCTACTCAAATTAAAAAAAATTCTATCTCCAGTTCAAAACCGACGATTTAAAACAGAAAGTCATCATTTTGCAGCAACTTTTTTTAACTATTTACCATTAAAATTTAAACAAAAACTGTGGAGTAGGCATTTTATACTTTATTTATTTATTTATATATATTTATTTATTTTTATTTTATACGACACAACCTTAAGTAGAAAAACTAAATAAAATTCAATTTTTCTATATAATAATTTTCTGCAGATATTTTGTAGTGAATTTTCTTGGCTGATTTTCATTTTTCTTTTCTTCACGCCGTGGAATCTCGACAGAAAATATTTAAAATAGCATTTATTGTAAAAATTAAATTTTATTCACTTCCTGTATTGAATATTTTCTACTGAATATCTATTAATATTCAAACTTGGATAAAAATCGATTAAACTAATGGAAAATTCAATAGAAATTCAACAGAACGTTGTGAAGAATTCTCTAGGTGTTTTTATGAAATTTTTTCGTACAGTCTTTGCAATTTTTAAAATCATTCTTTAAAGGGAACGTTCACTGGAGTAATGGGCGGGATTAATCATAAATGTTGCGAAAAAGAAATTAATTAAATATTCTCTAATGAGAAAACACTATTTCACTGGCAGATCGAAACACATAATTCAAAGGAACCGTTACTAAATATTGTTCGATGTTAATCAATTTAATCGGCAATAAATTAGCGTTGCAATAAATTACGAATAGGATTCACGTGGAAAACTCCGCGGCTCTAAAGTCGTCGACATTAATGATAGGAAAAATATTAAGTGCAGCATAAATATCACGAGACAAGAGATTAAATGAAGGAGAAATTTTTTAATTGCGATTTTTCCGTTTGTTGATTTCGATTTTCATTTTACTCTTGACATTCAGTTTGAAAATTCCAAAACGAGCCCAACTATAGGGGTGTCTCACACACAGAATTAATTCAGTATTTTTTTTTTAAATCGTAATATTCAATCAGAGCTTTTTAAATTGTAATGACAAATTGAGGATTTTCAAAAAAAATTTCAGAGTTCTGTGTTTTCGACGAATGAGAATTAATGCGGATTGCCATTGAATTTATTGAATTATTTTTATAACAAAAAATTGACAGAACTTGTTTATCGATTATAAATTCTTATTATGAAGTTAGAAACACAAAAATGAAGTTGGCCCGAGTCGAAATATCTCGAAACGCGTGGGACTAATTCCTCATTGGTCAACTCCAACCGCCAAATTCGAATTCGGCGCACGGAGTGCGCAGTAGATCTCGTCCTTATTATGAAAGTAGAAACACAAAAATGAAGTTCGCCCGAGTCGAAATCTCTCGAAACGCGTGGGACTAATTCCTCATTGGTCAACGCCACCGGCCAAATTCAAATTCGGCGCACGAAGTGTGCAGTAGGTTTCGTATTCTTTATTCGATAACTATGGAACAGAGGAAAAATAGAAATAACTAAAAATCTTAAGATTCTAGTCGCCCTACAGTCTCTGTAAAAAGTTGATGCATTGTAAAATGGCCGAAATTAAATCACAATCTTTTCATCATAAAAATTTACACAAAAAACTTGTTCTCCATGACAACAACCTTAATTAGTAATGATAAACTATTGTCCAGCTGAGGAACCCATTGTTACCCAGAATTAAAATAATAATAAAAACTTCAAATTTCCTGTTAATTACAAATTCAACTAATCATAAAAATCGCGGAAAGGTGACAAATCATTAAAATAACTCCCACCATTTGCAGTTTTCAAAATTCAAATAACGAACGGTTCAATAAATTCCTGCAATAATTTCCTGCAATAATACATTCTCTCGAAATGTTCTCCTTCGTAGATTTCGAAAACACAATGTGGAAATTTAATTCCATCGCTTCTGTTAGCACTTCATTGCTGAATGGGAAAATAATTTTTATGGATCTTGATGGCTGGAATTACTAATTTATACGAAAGACGTCTTTTCTGAACTTCGTGTAGATGCGTGTACTTTCACTTGGTATTTTTAAATGTCAGTGACCACGAGTTTTCATCACGAGTCGTAATGTGACAAATGTTGGTAACGGGACACTGAGTAATGGATTATTAACTAGTAATTTCAACATACAATTACAGAGAATCATTGGAGGCAGTTGATATTCACGTCAGCTAGGAAAACCGGAAATGTAGAAATACTAAAATATCACATAGACGATCATTCTACCGATTTTATAAACAGCGAAATGAAAATTTTCGGTAAATGTCTAGTTCAGGTCCGACTTTGTAATCTCGCACCACTTTAGGCGGATCAATAAGAATCGCGACTTCCTGATTTCGAGATTTTCGAGATAATCGATTGTGTAAAGCGTGTCCCTCTTAGAATAGAATATTTGAAGGTCTCACCCAAAGAAGATTCACTAAAGTAGAGGCTCAGTTCTGGGGGTTTGAGTGATCCCCGCGACATCGTAGTACTGCACCCCAAGAGAGGGAGGGCGCCACACGCAATGGGGGTGTCTGCCCGTCTGCCGACTAGTCGACGGGGTGAATGTTATTTTCTGCTTCACGAAATTGAAAAATTCGAAATTTACAAAAAAGTATCAGGGGAACATGAAAATGGAGGAGGTATTCACTGAAATTTGAAAATTCGAAATTTTCGGAAAAGCATCAGGGGAGCATGAAAATCGAGGAGGTATTCAGTTCAATTTGAAAATTCGAAATTTTTGAAAAAGTATCAGGAGAGCATGACAATTGAGGAGGTATTCACTGAAATTGAAAAATTCAAAATTTTCAAAAATGTATCGGGGGAGCATGAAAATCGAGGAGGTATTCACTAAAATTTGAAAATTCAAAATTTTTGAAAAAGTATCAGAGGAGCATCAAAATCAAGGGGGTATTCACTGAAATTGAGAAATTCGAAATTTTTTAAAAAGTATTAGGGGAGCATCAACATGAAGGAGGTATTCACCGAAATATGAAAATTCGAAATTTTTGAAAAAGTATCAGGGGAACATGAAAGTCGAGGAGGTATTCACTGAAATTTGAAAATTCAAAATTTTTGAAAAAGTATCAACTCCTCCATTTTCATGCTACCCTGATACTTTTTCAAAAATTTTGAATTTTCAAATTTCCGTGAATACCTTCTCAATTTTCATGCTCTCCTGATACTTTTTTGAAAATTTCGAATTTTTCAATTTCAGTGAATACTAATTTCGTAACGCAGAAAATATCATCCACCCCGTCAACTGGTCTCTCTGACAGCGGGACTGCTACTGAGACCAGTGATGGCAGACGAGAGTCCCTCACGTCCCCACTCCTCGGTTGCGTTCTAGTGCGCAGCCTTTAGCGCGTTCCTTGCCTGGCCCTATGGCCTTTGCGCTAGCACAGTAGTGGGGACCTAGAGGGTGCGCGAGAAAGATGCGCACGAAAATCCCACGCGTGGGATTTTTGCCCTCGTCTGGCATTACTGACTGAGGCAGTTACCGAGTCGGCTGACGGGCAGACACCCCCATTGGGTGTGGCGTCCTCCCTCTCTTAGGGTGCAGTCCTACGATGTCGCTGGGGTCACTCAAACCCCCAGAACTGAGCCTCTACTTTAGTCAATCCTCTTTGGTCTCACCCACCTTATTATAAAACCATTCAAATTTTCCGATTTCATCAATATGACCACGAGTTATCGATGATAATGTGTCGAATTTCACCCATCACGGTTTGAAAAATTATAATTCCATTCGAATAAAATTCTAAATGACGTTGATTATTCTCGTAAATTCTCATTACTCATGCATTCCATTTTCATGTACAATCTCTCGGGATATGTAATCCAAAATAGCAAAGAGGAACTAAGAATTGTCAAAAAAAGAGTCTAATATTGAATTTTTAAATCGACATTCTGATTAGATTCGATTCCGACTAGGTAGACTAGTTATCGAAGTAAAACTAAACCTGAAATATATCTCGATGATTTCAGACACCAGCAGAAACGATTCCTCCCACGAAACACACGACCCAGAATCCGTTGAACAAACTTCGCAACAGAAATCGTCTACAAGTCCACCCGAAAACAACAACCCGATCACCATTGCCAACGGCCCCAAGGAAATCACCACTTCTTCCACGTCGGAGAACTACAGAAGCACCAGTGGTGGAGTCTACCCTGGAGGATGGAGGAACAGAGGGTAACGAAACACCACAGGAAACCGAAATCACTGAAGCTGCATTACCAGAAACTAGCACAGCTGCCAGTAGCAAACACGAGGAAATCCGAGCTCGCACAGGATTACTAGCTCCAAGACGCAGGATAGCACCCCGACGTCCTGGACAAATCATCGGTCGCGAATAATTACAACATGTAGAGAATACCCGAGCAAAATGAGACATCCCGGCAAAACGGGCTGCGAGGACAAAATGAGAGTCGTGGGGAAATATTCGATCGTAAGAATCCATTATTCAACATTTCAATTTTTCCACAATTTTATCACATTTAACTCATAAAAAATGGAAAATTCTCAGTAGTAATATCCCAAGACCTTCAAAATTATCGGATATTTCCCGAGAGTTTCCATGCGTAGCAACGAGAGAGATGAGTTTTGCGGGCTAAAAATCTTTTTCTGCTAAACTTATCCCGATCGGTGATACGCAGGGGGAGGGAAATATCCGATTAATTTTGAAGGTCGAGGTGTATTCGGGTGGATTATTTTTTTCATTCCAATTTCAAGCAATTAAATTATAAGTAAAACGGTTTTATTAGGATATCTCAATTTTCAATTTTTTCAACCGGACAGTTTTGGGGCTCGAAACGCGTAAAAATTGTTTATCGGATATTTTCATTGCTTAGCAACAAACGGGGAACTTTTCGAAAAATATCCGAAGTAAAACCGTTTTACTTATACCAAATTAAAATTGAAATTTTACGATCAGAAGCAAAAAATGAGCGATTCAAATTAGATGGCGCATTTTTTTTAAATTTTGAAAAATAAAAAAGTAAGAAAACAATAGGATAATTAAAAGAAAAACTTAAATCCGCAGAAAACACTCGAACACTTTTAAAATGTTTCTCAAAATTTTTTGGCGAAAATGAAAATGACTGGGAATGAGGTAAACGCTTTTTCATGAGTGTCCCATTTTGCCCCGTATCCTATAACAGAAGATCAAGTGGTAATGACAGAAATCAAATGCAAAAATCATCTTGATGCGATTATCCAGAGGATGACTGAATTCGAAATAAAATGTCAAGGCATTTTTTGAAGATATTGAATCTTTAAAAATAATATACTTTGTTGATTCCTCATACACTCTCGATGGAATACGAGAAAAGACATGCCTTGTAAGATTTTTCTGCTAGAATGGATCATTATGCTGGGATGATTCAGCAATTGAAACGCAAAATCAATTACATTGACTGTAATTATTTCACTAATTTTCTAACGACTTCGTTACATAATTGAAAAGAACCGTGGGAGTCGGATGGAGAACTGGTGATTGAAGGAAATAATTCTTCTTAAAGAATCTCAGGACGGAGAATGAATGAGGAGATGAAGGGAAATTAATGCTTGAAGATATGGGAAATTAATCTTCTTACACTTATTGACAATTTTTCACGATCAATTCCTTTCAATAATAGAATTCTCGAATTTATGAATTTAACAGCGAAGCGGTAAACTCGGATAACTGGATTTTGTTCGGCAATATCTCGGGATTGAAGCAACACAGCGAAATTTTTGAATAAACATTTTTTATAGAAAAAAATGAGAGCTGAAAAAATGGTATTTATGAAAATATTGTTATCTTCCTTGGATCTCGAGATATTAACTGAAAACTCGCCTCGAAAAGATTGCACTTATTCTAGGGTTCTACTTCGCGCCACCAATCGGGAATATGAATTTAAAATCGCTTGGTCATTAATTTTTGACGGATTAGTATTGAGGACAACATTATGTAAACACTAGTCTCATAATTGCACTTGAAAATTTAAAATAAGTGCCATTTTTATCATCGACAGTGACCAGTGAATAAGAAGTGATGGAAAACTCTTTCAATCAGATTCAAAAAAAATGTAGCGAAAAATTTGAAGAGGAAATTCAGTGGCAATTGTTCCTCTGATAATTCACTAATATTCCACTAATGAGGGAAACTATTGAGATTCAACGACTGCATTCCCTCAAGTTTTTGTTTCTCTCTATAAATAAAAAATTGATCGATTGATTTGAAAAAATAACTTGCACGTTTCAATTGGAGTAAAATGCATTTTCATATTGTCTCAAATTTTATGTGATGATGAATTATGATAAACGGTGATGACTCCTAGACTAAACTTAGAACTCTAATTACGTTTATTTTATTTAATGAAGCAATGTTTACTGTAATTTTCTCCGAGTTGTAATTGCATTGAAATTGTACGTCTCAAGTGTGTCCTCCAGTGGTATACAATGATTTTGATTTTTAAGATAAGTTTATAAAAAAAATATGTAAATATGCTTAATAAATATCTGCCTAAGGAATAATTATGCGAATTTTCCTTTTTACAGCACAAACTGAATATGAATGGAAGACTTGCTCCCCTGATAATTTTTTGAAAATTTCGAATTTTTCAGTTTCAGTAAATACCAATTTCGTAAAGCAGAAAATAACATTCACCACAGAGGCAGTCAAAGAGGATTGACCAAAGTAGAGGCTCAGTTCTGGGGGTTGAGTGACCCCTGCGGCATCGTAGTAGCCGACCCCATAAGAGGGAGGGCGCCACACGCAACGCTGGGGTATCTGCTCGTTAGCCGACTCAGCGACTCTTCAGTATACTGAAGTCAGCATAAGTTTTAACATTGATTTTAGGAGTGGGGGACATGGTTACAAGTGGTAACTACGTGGAGTGGGGGTACCCAGAGAAGTAAAAACGTATGGTGACTTTAGTATAGCAGTCCCGCTGCCACAGGGACCAGTCGAAAGGGAACTTCCACAGAACATCAGAGATCCTGACA